AGTAGTGATCGTAGTAGTAGTCGTAGTACTTTCCTTCGTAGTGGTCGTAGTAGTAGTAGTAGTAGTAGTAGTAGTCGTAGTAGTAGTAGTAGTAGTAGTAGTAGTAGTAGTAGTAGAGGAGATTTGGTCTGTGGTGGTGGTGGATGGTGGTGGTGGTGGGTAGTAGTAGTAGTCGTTAGTTCGTTGAGCACGTAGTAGTAGTAGTAGTAGTAGTAGTTCGTGTAGTTAGTAGTAGTGTCTAGCGCCGCAGCAGCAGCAGCAGCAGCAGCAGCAGCAGCAGCAGCAGTACAGTAGTAGTAGTAGTAGTAGTAGTAGTAGTAGTAGTAGTAGTAGTCGTAGTAGTAGTAGTAGTAGTAGTAGTAGTAGTAGTAGTAGTAGTAGTAGTAGTAGTAGTCGTAGTCGTAGTCGTAGTCGTAGTCGTAGTCGTAGTCGTAGTCGTAGTCGTAGTAGTAGTCGTAGTCGTAGTAGTGGTGGTGGTAGTAGTAGCCGTCGTTGTTTTTGTCGTAGTCGTAGTTGTCGTAGTCGTATTCGTCCGAGCCTCCGATCGGCCCTCAATCCCCTTTTCCCCCTTTCGCCTCCGCGATACCCCGCCGAGGAACGCGGGCAGCCAGCAGGCCCAGAAGAAGACGGCCCGCGAGGCCCGCGAGGTCCGAGCCCTCCTGCCCAGACAGCTGCCTCGCTCGTCGTTCATCGTCGTTCAGCTCGGCGGCGAACCCAGGGGGAAAGTGAGAGGGGCATGCCTTCTCAGAAGGCGGCGGGGCCTCTCAGGAGGCCTAGCGCCTTTGAGACTGTGTCTTCGGGGAAGGCTTAGAAAACTTCTCAGAAGGCCCGAGGCCTCTCAAGCCTTCTGAGTAGGCCAGCCCCCTCTCACTTCTCCCCTGGGCTCGCCGCCGGTCAACGGTCGTCGTCGTCGGTCGTCGTTGTCGTTCGTCGTCGTCGTTTGTCGGACTTCCTTCGTCGCCTGCTGCCGTCGTGAGGCGTTCGTCGTTTGTCGCTCCTCTCTCGCCGACGCCCCCATCGTCGTCGTCGTCGTCGTCCGCGGCGGCGGCGGCGTCGTCGTCGCCGTCGTCATCGCCGTCGTCGTCGTCGTCGTCGTCGTCGTCGTCGTCGTCGTCGTTGTTCGCCCTCTGTCGTCGTCGCCGCCGCCATCGTCGTCGTGCGTCGTCCGTTGTCGTTCGTGATTCGTCATTGGTTGTCGTTCGTCGTTCGTTTGTTCATTGTCGTCGTAGTCGTCGTAGTTGTTTTCGTCCTCGTCGTCGTTCATCGTTCGTCGTCGTGGGCGTCGTCGTCGTCGTCGTTCGTTGTTCGTCGCTGGTTGGCGTTGGTCGTTCGTACGTTCGTTCGTAGTTCGTCGTCGTCGTCGTTCGTCGTTGGCGTCGGCGTCGTCGTTGGCGTCGTCGTCGTTCGTTGTCGTTGTCGTTGTCGTCGCCGTCGTTCGTTTGTTTATTCGTCGTCGTCGTCGTCCGTCGTCCGTCGTCGTCGTCGTCGCCGTCGTCGTCGTCTTTGTCGTCGTTGTCGTCGGCGTTTGTCGTCGTCGTCGTCGTCGTCGTCAGTGTCTTTCATCGGTCGTCGTTACTCGGTCGCCGTCGTCTTTCGTCGTCGTCGTTCGTCGTAAATCGGTCGCCGTCGTTCGTTCGTTTGTTCGTCGTCGTCGTCGTCCGTCGTCGTCGTCGTCGTCGTCGTTGTCGTCAGCGTTTGTCGTCGTCGTCGTCTTTCATCGGTCGTCGTTAAGCGGTCGCCGTCGTCGTTCGCCGTCGTCTTCGTCGTCGTCCGTCGTCGTCGTCGTTCGTTCATCATATAGACTGCCCGGGCAAGGCCTGGGGTAGGCCTACCCTAGGGCCTACCCCTAGGCCTACCTTAGGCCTAGGGCAGGACCTACCCCTCCTTTCCCTAGGCTTACCCTAGGCCTACCCTAGGGCACACCCCTAGGCCTACCCTAGGCCTACCCTAGGGCATACCCGTAGGCCTACCGTAGGCGTACCTCTGGGGCCTACCCCCAGGCTTATTCTAGGCCTTCCCTAGAGCTTGCCCGTAGGTTTACTCCCATGGGCCTACCCCGAGGGCTTACCCCAAGGCCTACTCCTAGGTCGGCTCCTCGGGCCTAAGCTTGGTTTACCCTTAGTGCCCACTCCAGGCCTACGGTAGGTTTGCGTCGTGTCGACCAGCGGCGACCCCAGCGCGGGCGTTCAAGGTTGAACGCCGCCGGCGACCCAGAATCGATCGATCTTGAACGATCGGACGTTGCGGCAGCGGCCGATCGTTCAAGGTTGAATGATCCCTGCGGTGTCAAAAACCAACGCTGGGGTCGGCACGACACGAACCTGCCGTACCCTAGGGCCTGTCCCTAGGGCTATCCTAGGCGTTGCCCCTGGCTGCCCCAGGCCTTGCCTTCAGCCCGCAGGCTACCCTTGGGCCTACCCCTCGCCCGACCCTGGGCCCTTCCCATGCGCCTAGGTGTTGCCTATGTCCGACCCCGATCGCCGACCCGACCCGCTAGTCAGTGTTCTTCCGATCCAAGCACCAGACAAACTACAACCATAATTTTGAACCTACAGCTTAACTGAAACTGAAACTGAAGCACCACACAAACTACAACCATAGCGTCGCCATTCTCCGTCTGCCGATCCGATTCCGCTGGACAAAGAAAGGAAGGACGAGAGAGGCAGGAAGGAGGGAGGTAGGACGGGAGGGAGGAGGGGATGGGGGGGGCGTGGGGACGAGGGCGGGGATGAGAGGTTTACAGACAGGGGGTGTGGAGAAGGGGGGTCTACAGAGGGGGGGGGGTTAGAGAGGGGGGGTCTATAGAAGGGGGGGTCTAGAGAGTGGGGGTCTAGAGAGGGGGGGTCTAGAGAGGGGACGTTTACAGAGGCGGGGTCTACAGAAGGGGGGTCTAGAGAGGGGAGGTGTAAAGAGGGGGGGTCTACAGCGAGGGGGGTCTAGAGAAGGGGGGTCTACAGAGGTGGGGTCTGCAGAGGGGGGGTCTACAGATGGGGGGTTTGAAGAGGGGGGTCTAGAGAGGGGGGGTCTAGAGAGGGGGGGTCTAGAGAGGGGGGGGTCTACAGAGGGAGGTCTACAGAGAGGGGGGTCTAGAGAGGGGGGGGCTACAGAGGGGGTGGGTGGGTTTAGAGATGGAGGGTCTTCTGACACATACATCGGCACTTGAGCGACTATAGTGATTACAATTCTAGTTGAGCGGCACAGATCCCTTCTGAATGTTACACAAAGTGGATTGTATTCAGAAAACGTCGAGCTGTAGTGTACTAAGAGCACCCACTAATTGACATGGAAGGCATGTGCGACATCACACATTTTGCACATCATATGTTCAAATGTATGCATACGTTGTTTGTACGAGTTATGCAGCTCGGAACTTATGGCACTCATCGAATACACGTCTTTACATCTCTACCTACACATAATCTGGCGTGGTTTCGTTTTCTAGTTGTTGTTCTCCTGTTGGTTTGGTTCGGTGTGTGTTTTCATCGGAAGACCGCTCGGTGGATGGAAGAGGAAACTGGAGAAGGTGGAGGAGGAGGAGGAGGGGCAGGAAGAGGAGGGGGAGGAGGAGGAGGAGGAGGAGGAGGAGGAGGAGGAGGAAGACACGGACGAATTCAAGGCCGTTGGGTGCCAACGTCTGTCAATGGCCAGATGCTTATTACGAGGGCCAGGTCGATGCTGCGCTCTTACGGCGCACCAGAGGGCCATCCACCGCACATGGATGCCGCAGTCTGCACGCCACGGCGTGAGGAAAGGGCCTCGAATCTCACTTCTCGGGGGCGGGCTGCCTAACCACACCTCCTTCTGAACCGTCTCGACCACATTGTCCACCTCGAGCTCCGACGGGTCGACGTCTTCGTAGTCCACCTGGCCGAAGGGTGCCCAAGTAGAGGGACCGTTGACGTCGAAGGCGTTCCACTGCTCTGGCGAGGTCCGTTTGTTCGGGTCGGACTGCTTGTTCCACTCCTCTGGCGAGCTCCACTTGCTCGGGTCGAGCTGCTTGTTCGCCTGGTTGGGGTCCCATTGGAGGTCGCCGTCGGAACCCTTGAGGCCGATGTTCGGCGAGTCGCCGCGATTCTTCTCGGCGAGCTCGATCTCGAGGGGCGTGGCCACGGGCTTGCTGGGGAGTTCCTCCGCGCCGCTGTCGCCCTGGTTTGCTGCGGGCGCTGGATAACCATCTGCCGTCGACCTGAGCACCCCCTTGCCGACGAATGGCGATTTCTCGACCAGCAGGCCCTTGATCTTCAGCACCTCCGAAGTGACGGCGTCGATCCTCGCGCCGTGGAAGCGGATGGTCACGAGGTTGGCGGTGGGCTGCTCCTCTGTACTCCCAGGGCTGAGTTTCTTGTGCGTCGTGCGCGCGATCGCCAGGCACGCCTTCACTTTCTTCTGCTGCATGTCGTACAGCACCTCGTTCAGCCTCGTGGGGTACGCCCGCGAAGCCCTCCAAGGTGATTTTCGCCAGTTCCTTCTGCGCGTGCTCGCGGCCCTCGCTGGTCAGGCCCGCCGTTGTAGGTCCCCCGATCATGGCACAGGCGTCAGTACCCTGGCCTGAGATCACTTGTCCTCACCGGACGCACTCTGATCACTGAGAGAAATGGCTACGGATAAGGCTAACCGCTGTGGTGTGCTATCGGGCCACCGACCCCTTCCGCTGGGTGCGGATGCCTTGGTGGAGCACGGGGGCAGGAGGTAGTGCGAGGCGCGCTGACCAGAGAGGCACCCAGACTCAGGAATGGTGCTCTCGCTCGGGGACCTCCTCAACGTCGGGGTTGGCCCAGCGGCTCTCGACCGATTCCAGCTCGCAGGTTATTGCGATTCACTCGTGCTGGCGAAGGGGGGGAAAATGTGGGAGAAGGGGGGGAGGATGAGGATGGGGATAGGAGGCGGAGGGGGGGGGGGTGCGGCAACGTGCGTGCGGAAGCAGCTGCTCTAATGCAGCACCGGGTATTCGTCTCTGCCACCCATGTGCCAGGCATGTGTCTCGTACGCCTGGTGAACGCCACCGGCCGCCAGTGTCCGCGACAACCTGCACCTGGCATTCGGGGCGGTCCTGCCACTTGTGACTTCCATAAGCCCTTAATCACCACGTACTGATTTGCCACCATGGCACACCCAGCAACAATGCCGACGTATGGGCCCAGACAACAACGTCGTTGATGTAGAACTCTTTGCCATCAAGATACACGCCACTGGCGACGGTGGCAGCGGGGAAATCAGGCAGGGGCCCTCGGGGCGCAAGGAGGCCGCTCGTGAATTGAAACACGCCTTCGGCCAGCTGGTTATACTGCTTGCTCAGCGACGAGCATGACACCGACCGCTCCCAGACTTCGTGCTTTTGACCGCCCCCGCAAACTGTTTCGCGCGTGAGCTCAGGCGTTCGACGACGAACATGTTTATGACGCCTTCCTCTTTGACGAGCTGCCCCAGCACGTGAAAACACATGTGTTGTTTTGGACGCGCCAACCTACTGTCATGAGCCCTCTGGTGACCGCAATGGACTGTCAAGGATTTCTGCAACTCCGTCGAGACCTCGATGACGCCGTGCTTATCATATCGTTTCGCCTCCAAACACAGATGGAAAACCTTACGTGGGGCCTCGGGGGAGATGCGCTTCGAAGCGACGCGATCGTCATTCATCAAGTTCTTC